CAGCAGTCTACAGCTCACAGTGGGAGAAGCCCGTGCAGTGGATCGTACTGTTCTCACTCTTTATCCTTTATAAAGTTCAAACATATTTTCTTTTCACTGAACACGTCTACAGTTTAGTGGATGTGAGATAAGTAGTGTTTTTGACAACAAATATGGGTGTTTATTGCGCTCAGGGCAGGGGCGATCGTGAGCCCAGGATTCGGCTGCATCCATTTTCAACAGAAAGCTCCTTGCTTGTTCTTCCTCCGCTGAGGGCAGCTACAGGTTTGTCCAACATGCACGTAACACATGTTAATATGTTTTAAAAGTCACTTAGGCCAATGTTATGCTTCCAAATACGTTAGGAATTATACAGAAGTGGAGTGAAGGGTAAGAAGGTTGATTTAAGAAAGCGGACCCAAGAGTCGGCTGCAGACGAGTGAACCAGGAGAGGAGACCTGTTTGTTTTTACTTTTTAAAGCTCAATGGGACTTATTTTTAAATGGATTTTTAGACTCTAAGTATTATCTGGACTGAAACGAGTTTGAACTGAAGTGGTCTGTGAAGTTTATAAGCATTTAAAAGGTAAGGCCATAACACACTTTTCAATGTGCTTTATACAAACTTTTGTGTTTTGTTTGAGCAAACAATGCAGACATGAATCATGTTCCACTGTTGCCAAACCATTTGTGAATAATCCGCTCTGTTGGTCCTGTTTATATGAAAATCTGATTGGGATGAAGTCAGTGCCTCACCAATCACCAACCTCACTGCACATCACTGCCTGGCACAAACACATCCCCCGCCCCCTCTGTTCAAATGTTCTGCTTTCAAACTCAGTGACAGAGCTGCTGTTACATGTTTTAATGTTGCCCTCCGCATTAGTTCCAATCTGGAGACAAAACGTACACAAAGAAGTACAATGGGACGTCTAACCCTAGATATTTTTCGCAATATTTGGCTACGTATCCTCTGTCCTGGCGTAAATCTCGAACCATTTAGATTTTTTCAATGGGCTTTTTCACAGCCCATATCAAAGGAGTGGACATCACCGTAGTGTTAGCCTTAATGCGGGAGAAGCAGATTGGAACATAAGCTAGCTGGAGCTGATTTCCTTATATGGAATGTCTTATGAGGCTTTAGCTTTGCGCTGTGACAGGGGCAGACGTGTTGCTAAGACTATTGCTAAGGCAGGCAGGAGTTTCTCTTGAGAATGAGTGGAATATGATTGGCCAATCCTTAAAGTAGCAATATGTAAGATTTTCATGTCAAGTCATCATTAAATGGCCCTAATCTGTCAAAAGGCATTAATAAACTATGCTTCTTTCAAATACTTCTTTAACTGATCAAAGTACAGTAGTTCAGCCGAGATATTTGGATTCAAAATTAGTTTTACAGCCCCTAAATCTTGGTATTGTTTTCATTTCGATGTCCCGCCCTCCACTGTTTCACCAATCAGTATCCGGGTTCCCAGGACACACCCCGTCGAGCTAATCTCACTGGTAAAGTAACATGTAGCCATCATGAATGACAAAACAATGAATAAAACGAGGATTTCTATTGAGGCCTTTGTGAAAAAGGTGTTGGATAAAGATTTGTTGTTGACAAAACTCTGGTCTGCATATCTGGCAACCTGAGTAAGGGAGAGTGGGAGAGGTTGCGGTGCCACTTTTGGCCATATCAATCAATCAATCAATCAATCAATCCTTTATTATCTCACAGATGGAGGAATTCAGTTCGATGAATAAACATTAAGGCTGGCCGCGTACTCTAATTTTCCGCGCTCCTTGTGACAGTTATTCAACAGCAGAGAGCAAAACAGACACATATTTCAAACAAACATGGGAGAGACACAGTACATGTGGAAAACATGCGGATATTTTTGAAGGGAAGTCATCACTCTGACCCGCCTCGTCCAATATAGCGCATATTGCTCCTTTAAGATTCTCACATCTGGATGAATAAAAACACTATCAAACTAAACCTTGGATTGTGACACAAACAGTTATGGAGCTAGCGGTTAGCATTGTCCATCTGTACACAGTCTGTCGTTAAAACACCAATATTTTGTGATCTGCCGATGTTTTATAATCTGTGGTAGTGTCATTTATTGTTTTACTATACATCCTGTACAATTGTGAGTTTTTTGCTGTGTATTGTGTGGCATGTGTGATGGCATTTGCTTCAGCAAACCCCTTTTCGAACCATGTACTTGCTAATGTATGTTATATTGGTATGTGAAAATATGTGTTGTGCGGGTTTGAAAACAAATATTGTAATCTAAATGTTAAAAGCCCGGTGCTCTTGTCCTCTCTCTTCTCCGTCACCGTCGTCCTGCATCAGCCTCCTCTCACCTCTCGACCCACTTCCACCGTGACGTGTTCTGCAGCTGTGTCTCTGCCTTTCACCTCTTTCACCGACAGCACAAAGTCACTCACCTGCTGATGTCACACAAACACAACACCGACACAGGGACATTGGCAGCAACAAGACATTTTTACAGCAACATTACACAAACACATAATTCAGGGGTAGAGGAAACCAAACCGCAGTCATTCCGGGCGCCTTGCAGGAAAGAACGTGACATAATTAACATGGGAAAACATGCTCAAAGCTGAAGGAAAAATTAAAGCTGGAAGACCTGATTCTCAAACCAAAATGACCTGTGCAATAAAATGTATGTCACTATAGTCCCTCGCTCTCAGAACTGTTTGCTTCTATCGCTAGTTTCATACACAGATATCCATTCATTCATTTTCTTCTGCTTTATCCGTTGCTGAGTCGCGACTTCCCTCTCCGCTCTCACTTCTTCCTGCTCATCCAGGAGGGAATTCTGAGGCGTTCCCAGGCCAGCTGAGAGACACAGTCCCTCAAGTCTCTGGTCTCTCTCTCAGGTCTCTCTCTTGTCTTTTTTTGGTCTCTTTCTTTAGCCTCTCTCTGGTCTCTCTCTGGCCTCTCTCTGGTCTGTCTCTGGTCTCTCTCTGGTCTCTCTCTGGCCTCTCTCTGGTCTCTCTCTGGCCTCTCTCTGGTCTCTCTCTGGCCTCTCTCTTGTCTCTCTCTGGCCTCTCTCTGGTCTCTCTCTGGCCTCTCTCTGGTCTCTCTCTGGCCTCTCTCTGGTCTCTCTCTGGTCTCTCTCTGGCCTCTTTCTGGTCTCTCTCTGGCCTCTCTCTGGCCTCTCTCTGGTCTCTCTCTGGCCTCTCTCTGGTCTCTCTCTGGCCTCTTTCTGGTCTCTCTCTGGCCTCTCTCTGGCCTCTCTCTGGTCTCTCTTTGGCCTCTCTCTGGTCTCTCTCTGGCCTCTCTCTGGTCTCTCTCTGGCCTCTGGTCTCTCTCTGGCCTCTCTCTGGTCTCTCTCTGGCCTCTCTCTGGTCTCTCTCTGGCCTCTCTCTGGTCTCTCTCTGGCCTCTCTCTGGTCTCTCTCTGGCCTCTCTCTGGTCTCTCTCTGGCCTCTCTCTGGTCTCTCTCTGGTCTCTCTCTGGCCTCTCTCTGGTCTCTCTCTGGCCTCTTTCTGGTCTCTCTCTGGCCTCTCTCTGGCCTCTCTCTGGTCTCTCTCTGGCCTCTCTCTGGTCTCTCTCTGGCCTCTCTCTGGTCTCTCTCTGGCCTCTTTCTGGTCTCTCTCTGGCCTCTCTCTGGCCTCTCTCTGGTCTCTCTCTGGCCTCTCTCTGGTCTCTCTCTGGCCTCTCTCTGGTCTCTCTCTGGCCTCTCTCTGGCCTCTCTCTGGTCTCTCTCTGGTCTCTCTCTGGTCTCTCTCTGGTCTCTCTCTGGCCTCTCTCTGGTCTCTCTCTGGTCTCTCTCTCTGGCCTCTCTCTGGTCTCTCTCTGGCCTCTCTCTGGTCTCTCTCTGGTCTCTCTCTGGTCTCTCTCTGGTCTCTCTCTGGTCTCTCTCTGGCCTCTCTCTGGTCTCTCTCTGGTCTCTCTCTGGCCTCTCTCTGGTCTCTCTCTGGCCTCTCTCTGGTCTCTGTCTGTAAACACTGCTCCCTCCTCACAACAACGGTCCGATACAGTGGCCGCATCACGCACAAGCTGCACCGATCCGCCTGTCAATCTCACGCTTCCTTCCTTCCCAAACTGAGAAAAAGATAAATTATACACAAATAAATTGAATTGAACTAAAACCCCAGTTCACTCCACAATCATGATTTATGAACTCAAAAAACTTGACTACTTTTTTCAGTCCCATCTCATGCAGCCGGACTCCCTGACCCTGCGTAAGCCTTCCTGATTTAAAGTAGGCTGCTTAAATATGTTTTTGACTTGAAATAACTGTGTTCTTTTGACAAAGGCTTTTGTGTTTGTGGTTGGCCCAGTTTGACCAGGACTTATGACTGTAACCAGGACTATTTTGGTCACAAATCTCAAAATCTATTTATTTGTCAAATTTTGTTCTTGTTGTTAAAGCCTCACGTAACAAGAGATGAAGAAAGGGTGTAATCTGAGCCCCGTTTCCACCACCCCGACTCTCTACTCTACTCTACTCTACTCTGCTCTACTCTACTCTACTCTACTCTACCTGGTTGCATTTCCATTACACTTTAGTATCTGCTACCGTATATTTTTTTCTTTTTTTTTGTGGTTGGTTTGCTTTGATTGTATGTTTTTACAATGACTTATTATTATTATTATACATTATATCATTAATTAACTTAGTACTAAACATGTTATCATTTGCATACCTGTAAGATCCCTTTGAGTCACTAATTTTTGTCTGAAAAGCTGATCTGAAGAGTTGACAGACACACACAAACACATGCGAAACTAGTGATAGAAGCAAACTGTTTTGAGAGCGACCAATAGTGACATGGATTTTTGTGGTTTGAAAGTCACGAACCCCAGCTTTAAGCCGTGCAAGCCGAAAAACCCCATGTTGTTTTTTTGATTCCAGCTCAAATGGCAGAGCAAATACAAAAGCGTTTCTCTTGCACCAGACCACATGCCTTTGACGCAGAAAGAACTGTAATAGATTTTTCTGTTTTGAACCATTCTTTCAAACAATCATTGAACGTTTTGTGTCCAAACGTTTCTCCCATGGTCCCTCTCCACTGTGAGCGCTTTCTGTGGCGTCGTTAGTTTTTTGTGTTGATGAGGTAACGTGTTCTCTGCTCTTAATTAGAGCTGTTTAGAGCCGTCGACTGGAAGCAAGCAGGACGCGCCGCTAATGAGGTCCAGGAATAGGATTGTGACTGGGTCCAATCGCTGCCTTGTATGTGGAAGAGGCCAGAGAGAGAGACCAGAGGGAGACCTGAGACTGAGAGAGACCAGAGAGAGAAACCAGAGAGAGAGACCAGAGGGAGACCTGAGACTGAGAGAGACCTGAGACTGAGAGAGACCAGAGAGAGAGAGACCAGAGAGAGAGACCAGAGGGAGACCTGAGACTGAGAGAGACCAGAGAGAGAGACCAGAGAGAGAGACCAGAGGGAGACCTGAGACTGAGAGAGACCAGAGAGAGAGACCAGAGGGAGACCTGAGACTGAGAGAGACCAGAGAGAGAGAGACCAGAGAGAGAGACCAGAGAGAGAGACCAGAGAGAGAGACCAGAGGGAGACCTGAGACTGAGAGAGACCAGAGAGAGAGAGACTAGAGAGAGAGACCAGAGAGAGAGACCAGAGAGAGGCTAGAGAGAGAGACCAGAGAGAGGCTAGAGAGAGAGAACAGAGAGAGGCTAGAGAGAGAGAACAGAGAGAGGCTAGAGAGAGAGAACAGAGAGAGACCAGAGAGAGAGACCCGAGGGAGACCTGAGACTGAGAGAGGCCAGAGAGAGAACAGAGAGAGAGGCCAGAGAGAGACCTGAGAGAGACCTGAGAGAGACCAGAGTGAGGCCAGAGAGAGAGACCAGAGAAAGACGAGCGAGAGACCAGAAAGAGACTGGACAAGAGAGACCAGATGGATAGACCTGAGAGAGACTAGAGAGAGACCTGCGAGAGGGACCAGAGCGAGAGAACAGAGAGGCCAGGGATACATCAAAGTGGTTTTCATTTAGTGATATTTAGGATAATTTCTAGATTATCCAGATGACAAGAAACAACTGTGAAAACATTTAGCTATCGCATTTTTTGGCCACAAAAAGGGAAATAATCTTGGATGGTGTAATTGAAACCCATTGGCAAAAAAATGAAATGTGCTTGAACCAAGATAAAAAACTATTTCATTCAAGGGTTTGCCAGATTTGCAGATATTCTGATCTCTCTCTCTGGTCTCTGACTCCGGCCTCCCTCTCTGGTGCCTCTCTCTGGTCACTTTCTGGTCTCTTTCTCTCTCTCTGGTTTCTCTCTCTGGTCTCTCTCTCTCTGGTCTTTCTTTGGTCCCTCGATCTGGTCTATTCCTAGTCTCTCTGTGTGATCATCATGGAACCACTGATTAACATGACAGTTACATTCATTCAAAGTCCGAACAAAACATGCTGCTGTATTTAAAACTCATGGGCAAAAAAAGTACATAAAAATACCAGTTTACTCCTGGGCCTGAATGTGAGTGGAATCAGTTTGACGTGTGGCTTTGACATTTCTCTGTGTGTGTGTTTTTTTTCCAGCTCCGAAGACGTGCAGCCCGAAGCAGTTTGTGTGTAAAGACGGAGTGACGTGTATCTCCAAAGGCTGGAGGTGTGACCGCGAGAAGGACTGTCCGGACGGGTCAGACGAGGAGCCCGATGTCTGTGAGTCTGACCCCGCAGACCAGCACCGCACCGCACCACGCACACACAGATACCATCAACACAACTATACTGCATGGCTTTGTGATTGTGTTGTATAGAGCAGTGTATCCCAATCAGTGGGTAGAGGGACCTGCGACTGGCACTAGAGCGAGAGACCAAAGAGAGAGACTAGAGAGAGACCGGAGAGAGACTAGAGAGAGACTAGAAAGAGACTAGAGAGAGACCGGAGAGAGACTAGAGAGAGACTAGAGAGAGACCGGAGGAATACCAGAGGGACCAAAGTGACTAGAGAGAGAGAAACCAGGGAGACACCAGAAAGATTCAAGAGAAAGACCTAAGAGAGACTAGTGAGAGACCGGAGAGAGACCAGGGAGGAATCAGAGAGAGACCATAGACTAGACAGACCAGGTAGAGACCAGAGAGAGACCATAGAAATACCTGAGAGACCAGATGGATCAGAAAGAGACCAAAGGGAGCTCCGAGAGAAAGACCAGAAAGACACCAGAGAGAAACCAGGTAAAGGCGAGAGAGACAAGAGAGAGAGACTGGCGAGACACCAGAAAGACCTACGAGAGACCAGAGAGAGATCGGAGAGAGCTCAAGGAGGAATCAGAGAGAGACCATAGAAACCAGACAGACCAGAGAGAGCGAGAAAGACCAGAAAGACACTAGAGAGAAACCAGGTAAAGGCCAGAGAGAGACAAGAGAGAGACCAAAGAGAAAAGTTGATCCAAAGAAGAAGTGGATCCTAGTCACGGTTTTTGTTTCATGTGGAGTGCAGTGATTACAGAGAAATGAGCTCTATACTCATATTAGAATCTGACTTTTGACAGTTACCATAGTTACGCTGATTCTCAAGCGTTGCATTCTCTGAATAGTTTTAGAAGCAATAATTTATAGCAAGTCCTGGTTTGATCCTCGTCCAGGTGAAGTTTATTTGACTTTGCTCATCCTGCTTCAGCGAGATAGTCTGGCTTCCCCACTTCTGACTGAAATAGTAGATCAGTTCTAATAATCCCCTGGATGCGTTTTGTATTTCCACATTTTGTTTATCCGTCGTTTGCGGACGTCGTGTGAATCTCGATGTGCGTTTTGTTGATGAGACAAAACCAACAGAAGAAAAATGCACCTCGAATATCAAAGTCCTCATTAGAAGGTGGATTTCTGAGGCGTTTTCCCCGTGGAGCCATGAAAGCAGCTCTCCACGGTCGGCCTGTGTGTGTGTGTGTGTGTGTGTGTGTGTGTGTCTGAGAGGGTGTCTGTGAGCTTATCTGAGAGAGAGGATGTATGTGAGTGTGTGTGTGTGTCTGTCTGAGAGGGTGTCTGTGAGTGTATCTGAGTGTGTGTGTGTCTGAGAGGGTGTGTGTGAGCGTCTGAGAGAGAGGGTGTATGTGAGTGTGTGTGTGTGTGAGAGTGGGTATCTGTGAGAGTGTGCGTGTATTTTTATGTGTACGTTAATGTGTGTGTATATATTTATGTGTATGAGTGTATTTGTATGCGTGTGTGCGTGCATGTGTGCGTGTATATACGTGTATTTGTGTATGTGTGTGCATGTCTGCGTGTATATGTGCGTGTGTGCGCTTGTGTGTGTGTGCATGTTAGTGTGTGTGTGTATGTGTGTGCATGTCTGCGTGTATATGTGCGTGTATGCGCTTGTGTGTGTGTGCATGTTAGTGTGTGTGTGTGTGTGTATGTGTGCAAGTCATTAGCGTCACACCAGGAGCTCTGCAAAAACCTGCTGTTTTCCTTCTGCTCGACCTCTGTCTCGCCAACAGCACGAGTTTAAGCAAATATAAGACATCAAACACAACTCAAAAAGTCATAAATTAGAATAATAATATAAAGTAATTGAAATTGTTTTTGCCTTGATCTGAGATAAGCGCTCAGATAAACCTCATTTCAAAATCCAAAATAGAAAAATTAATCAAACAGGGGACGATGACAAGAACTAACACAGTCGTTTAAATGACAATAACGGTAAATACACTGAAAGGACACAAGTGAGGGCAGGTTCTCAAACAGGAAGTAGAGTCAAACAGGAAGTAGAGGAGCTAAGGAAGACTCAGGGGTAAACAAATTACAAATAAAACGGGAAACAAACCTAAACCCTGACTCAGTTTCTCACTTGAAATAATAAAGACAGGTGTGTTTTGAAGGTCCAAGGCCGTAGATCTATAATAATATCTGGATAGGGTATTAAGAGCTTATAGCAGCTATAAGGATGGACCAATTAGATGCCTTCTTTTGCGGGGGGGAAACGTCAAACTCGTCATAGCAACCGTCTTAGCAACAGGTCTATCTCTGTTACGGCGTGTAAGTCACCCTCTCGGAACAAATGCCCATATAACGAAATGGTGTCCAGCTAGCTTATGTTCTGAAATCTCTCTTCCGCATTAAGGCTAACACCATTGTGATGTCACACTCGGTCAGTCCACTCTTCATATAAGGTCTATGCTCCTGCTTCAAACCACCATAATCTCACCACTGCAGCGACTTCGGCTCTAATGGCCTCATCCCGCTCAAACTAGAACACCCTGAGAATGTAGGAGTAGACGGGCCATGGAAATCGAGAGAGAAAAAGCTCAATTACTATTACCATTTTGATAGCAGGTAAAAACTGTCCGGTACTAAGACTGTAGATCAAGGACTGAGACTGTAGATCAAGGACTGAGGCTGTAGATCAAGGACTGAGACTGTAGATCCAGGACTGAGGCTGTAGATCCAGGACTGAGGCTGTAGATCCAGGACTGAGGCTGTGGGTCTAGGACTGAGGCTGTAGATCCAGGACTGAGACTGTAGATCAAGGACTGAGGCTGTGGGTCTAGGACTGAGGCTGTGGGTCTAGGACTGAGGCTGTAGATCCAGGACTGAGGCTGTAGATCCAGGACTGAGACTGTAGATCAAGGACTGAGACTGTAGATCCAGGACTGAGGCTGTGGGTCTAGGACTGAGGCTGTAGATCCAGGACTGAGACTGTAGCTCCAGGACTGAGGCTGCAGATCCAGGACTGAGGCTGTAGATCCAGGACAGAGGCTGTGGGTCTAGGACTGAGGCTGTGGGTCTAGGACTGAAGCTCTAGATCAGTCTTTTTGGTCATTACCAAAAGCTTAAGACCAGAGGTGAAAGAGAGAACTTAGACTGACGTACATTTGAAATCCACATATTGTCATTTGGCATTCTTTGTAGTCCTGGACCTGTGTGTGTGTGTGTGTGTATTTAATATCGGAACAGGAACACTGCCCGCGTAGTGTTAGCCAAGGATTTTTCTCTGAGCTGTTTTTCCAACTGGGTAAAGCAGTGTCCAAACCCTGCAGACTGCATCAGCGCTGACCGAGAGCAGAGAGGAGGTCGAGTTCCATCGTGACCAAAGTCTGGAGACTGTGGCTCCGGAAAATTTTCTGCTGCTTCACTTTGCCGGGACGAGTCAAAAGTACATTTGACTTTCACAAAAAAAAAAAAAAAAAACACAATTTAACGAAATATGATGCTGTTGTTTTGTTCCTTTTGGCCCCGAAACACATCATGAGAATTTGAGTTAAAAAAGATAAAAAACACGTGGGAACTTTGTTGGTTCCATTGTGGAGACATTTCAGTTATGGATTCAGAGATTTTAACTCATTGTTCCCTGGACCTGGAGTTGTTTTTTGGACGGCACAGTGGCTGAGTGGATAGCACTCTCGCTTCTCATCAAGAAAGTCCTGGGTTTGAAGCCCGCTCGGAACCATTATAAGGTTAAGTAGAGAAAATAAACAAATTGACGATTGTTATCAAACTACAACAACAAATGATGACTGTTATGGTCGCTGTGGACTCATTGCCACGAGGACCTCTGTCAGGAGCAGTGGTTGCCGTAGTAACAGAGGACCATCACCAGATGTTGATGCTTTTGATCACGACTAGAGCTGGAATGTTTTTATTGTACATGTTTTTAGTCACAGGGGAAGCAGGGGAGGCAAGGCAGACACGGGGAGAACATGCAAACTCTGTTACGACCAGAATTTGAAGCCAGGACGTTCTTGCTGAGAAGCCAGAGTACATTATTTATACACACCCAACATGTTGTAGAGAGACATATACCACAAAAGAATACGGCACATCACACCTTCAAAAACAGCCTAACAGCCAGGACATTTGGTGACAGGTGGATTCCCTCCGGGTCACCGCGGCGTTCTGCCCGTAAGGCGGGCGGCTCACCGCGGTCTGCTCTTGTGGAAAAAGTGCTCTTTGTGGCGGGGGTTGTTGGCGCGCGGCTCTGTTTCGAACAGGCGTGAGATGGTTTGTTTGTGCGCTCATGTGCAGCTGTGCCCTCCTCAATGATGGCCTTTGTGCCGCGCCTCCACTGAGACGCAAACAAAACAAAAGACTTTATCAGCACGGAGGCTGAAGAGAGCGCGGCTGTACCATCACGGTCCCCACAACTACAAGGTACCGGAAGGGAGCAGGTGGTTCTGCTGGTACTAGATGGAGAGACATGTTGTGTTGTCAATTTTTGGTTTAGTTGTTCAGCTAGTGACATCGTTTGTTCAGTGTTTTTTGGCCTTTGTTGAAAAGATGTGTTGACACAGGACAAATGGGAAAGTTAAGACAAGAAAAGATAAGATAAAGTTGATCTCATTGATCTCACAGTGGAGAAATGTACATGTCACATTTGGATAGAGTCACTGAGATTGTGCAAAAAGACAGAAGTGTGCAAACATGATAAGGTTAAAAATAGACTGGGCAGGTTATAATTATGTACAATAGAAAAGTGGCAATAGCAGTGCTGGTTTTTCAGTCCTAGTGAAGGTCATACTGTAAGTGACTTAAAGTGACTTATTGTACAATCTGACAGTGATGGGGATGAAGACCCTGCGGTGGCGCTCCTTCATCCCTGGCGTGTTGTTTCGACCTGATGCGTGATGCAGGACAGGATTGTGTCAAAATAAAGCCTAGTGTATTATCGCGCTGCGCAGAGCTTACGGTGGTGACGCGACGTCACTTGCGCAACGCAAGGATCACCC